GAGTAATTCCCACCATCAGCCATGATGATTCAATGTTACATGCATCTTATACTCCTTTTCGATGAAGAATTTTTATAACAGGGGAAAAGAGCACGAATATTATATAAAAATTAAAATCTGTTTTTCATCCGCCATATTGTTTATTCGCTATGGTGATCGATGGTGATCATGGGCTTTGCCAACTACATATCTGTGTGGGAGGAGTAGGTAAAGGTGACCAGGGGGGTGAGTATTTAGCAGTTTTGGAATGCAATTTTGCCCAGGTTTCGAACACAACCTAAATGAACCCACAACACTTGTATGATGATACATAACAATGTACCTTGATTGCGCAAGAAACAGAAATGTGTTACTTATCGGCCGTACCACGCACTACCTCTTCTACCACTCCCCTAAAAAAAATGCGTACCTCAGCATGGGGTCGAGGCAAATGGCAAGATGGCGGACGGAAGGTCTCTGAAAAAGTTCCTGACAAAGCATCGTCATTTTGAACTTTACAAAGATGACCAGAACAGAGAAAAGGTATGCAAAGTGTTTTCAAAGATGAGTTTTAACATTTCTGTTAAATTCGGACTGACTTCTGATAGGTTTGCCATTTTCCTTCGCACGCTTGTGGGTATCAGCGACATGCGTTTGTTTGTTTAATTTCTAGCGTTTACTATTTCATTCTTAGCGAATGAGTGGTGCCATTGAACTTGTTATTAGACTTCCAGTATGCAGAAGTTGAGACAAGAATAATCATCATCTTCAAGATATGTAACTAAAGACTGAAGATAAATATTAAAGAGGGAACTTTTAACACGAAAGAGCGGATCATGTTTGCTGAAGGCATCCGCAAGCGTCGAATGTCGATCGATAATAATAATACTACTAATAAAAAACTTTATTTAAGTGTCTTACAGCTTTAGATACATATGAGTTGGTGGACACTCTGCCAACTATCGACTAACTGTCTATCAGGTGTCAATCGAGGGTCTATCGAGATGTCAATCCAGTGTCAATCTAGTGTCAACCGAGTATCAATCGAGATATCGATTGATTTTCAGTCAAGATGTCAATTGAGTGTTGATCAAGGGCATCAATTGACACCCAACGTCTGATGCCTTTGGTACACACACTGCTCAGTTTCAGTGAGACGACAAGATAGCTGTGAAATACAAAAAAAATCCTATTTAGTTATTCAGTGGGACATGATAGACTTTTGTAAGCTCCATGACCATGTAGAGCAATTTGAAATTATAGCGCAGTTTGTCCAGAACTTACAAGTTGAACTGGCTCTTCACACTGTGAAGCTCAAACCACACTCATGGCTTTCAGCTTCACTGCTTTAAACTTGTCATTTGTATCAGTTCTGATTTTGCTCAAAACGGATATCGATTCTTGCGTTTGTGGAATATTTTACACATTTTTGTGTTTTTTTCAGGATCGAGATGGTAAAATAGGCTATCTCCCAGATTTCACTTTTTTTTCTTCTTAACCTATTCAGCTAACACTAGTTATTCACTTCCATTCTATATTAGGTCAAATGTAAGTTAACTGGACATGAGTTACCTGCAAGACTCTCTGACCTTGAAAACTACATAAAGGGAAAAAAGTATCAACGATTGACGAAGGAAGTTCCAGATAAATCCCCTGGCTATGAAGAATACAAGGAATTCTTAGTACCAAGTGAAAAGAATAGGTAACTGATACATCAAAATGATTAACTGAGAACTTTTGTGAATTTTTTTGTTTCACCTTTGCATCAGTATCGTTGGTAATGTAACCTCAGTTTTAGAATAACAAGACAACTAAAGAATAACTTAAAACATGATTGCCAGTTCTTAGACCATGTTTGTGTTTTAATGTTAAATTTTATGGTCACTTGAGCATAAAAAAAAGCTATGGGAATGCTGGCTGGAGACTATACAAATACATTAATTTATGTCTTTTATGTAAATAAATATAACTATGTAAACCTGTTAACTTTCGCAATAAAATCTTAGAGAGAGAGAGAGAGAGAGAGAGAGAGAAACTGGAAAGTACACTGAGTCCTTTGTGTAGTAGTTGTTGTTGCTGTTGTTGTTGTTTGTACTCTGTGGTAGCTCCAGCTTCATGAGGAGCAAATGAAAAAAGCCTGCATGATGAACAAATTTTTGCTGCTCCTCAGAATAACACATCTGTTACATACTGTTTCAATAGAGACTGCCTCTGTAAACCAAGGCCCTTGTATTTTTTACATTTCCCGAAGTAACTTGTTGAATTGTTCTCATACAACTTTACAGGAATCAGCTTTACTGCCAGTTGACCAAGAAATACATTAACAATGCTCCTCATCACATTCAAAGACATGTCATGGGAAAGCACTTCGGCAGAGCTCTGGAGAAACGTGAGGCATAACTTTTGCTTTTGTCAAGGAAATTTTGATTTTCAAAATGTCAAGCAATGTTAAGTGAATTTTGCTTGTGTTAGATCATGAGAAACTAAACATGGAAGCTGAGGAAGCTGATGAAGACATGTGGGTGCCCTCAGATCTGGAATCAGAATCGGAACTTGAGGAGGAAGAAGAGAGCGAGAAAAAAGAGGAAGATGAAGATGATTCTGGAGGAGAATTCTCATCAGAAGGTACGTAGACTTGCTGAAAGTTCTTTCCAATATCATTTTCCCATTTGTTTTGGTTGTCTTTGCGTTCGAGATTTCATCGCTTATAACTCCTCAGAGTTGCCTAAGAGGACATTCCTTCCTTGTCATTGTTACAGCTGTTACTGTTTTGGTGTCGTCTTTATTCTACCGTTACTTGCCCATTTGTTTCTTTTGATCATCAACGAAAATTACGATGATTACGAGAAGCTCAAAACTATACCTGAGTTCTAAGACGTACAAGAAGCTCACCTATAGTCTCTTATGTATCACACACACATCCTACTTTCGCGGACATCACTGATCCCCGCAGTATGCAAGACGCGTGCCACACCTGAACGTAGTAAATACAAGTCTCTCCGTACCTCATTAGTTAGAGTTCATGGATTCCAATCCAAGCTCGTGACATCTTCATCAATATTATTTTTCTGTAGGAGAGGCTTGTGTTCTTTTTCCCTTGGCTTGCATTTCTGAGCGAGGGCAGACATGGACGAGTGATTTTGCACTGAGCAAGCGAGCAGATGTGGGGGGGGGGGNAGAGGGGAGAGGGGAAGGAGATGTGCCCCTTTTTTCAAGTTCTTCTTTAGATGTTGCTGATGCTAATGCTTATGCGCTAGTGAAACCAGCCCGGAGGAAATGACGATGGAAAGGAATACAACATGGACAATTCCTGTGTTTTCAAGTTTGGCTCTCCGATCCGCTGAATCTTTTGAAATGATGGAAAGCTATGAAATTCTTGGAAGAAACTGCATTCGTTTATTAGAATTCATAAAGATTAGGGGGAATTCTTGGTCTCGTATAGTTTTGAACAAATTCCCTCGCATGAAACGTATTTGAACGTAGTTTCTAATTTATGCAGTTCTTTTCGTAAAATGCGTGGTCAAATGTGAGTTATGCCATAACAGATTGTAAGGGTTTTGATTTGGTTTCTGACTTTACCAGGGGAAACCAACGACGGTTTTCTCTCAAATGCTTTAAAACGCTTTTTAAGGCCATCTGGAGTGCTTTTGACGCTCTGTAGCTTAATTTTAGGCTGCGCTATGAAATTTTTATCTGTTTGGTTATTCTGGGGGAACTTTAGTCCTCTCGAATGCATTGAGGCTTATTTTGTCCATTTCCCGAAAAACTTAGGTCCTCTTGTCTTTCCGAGAATCAGAGCTGACCTTTTTGTGGTGGCCAAAGCGACAATTTTATCACTCCGAAAACAAGAGGGGGTAAATTTTTGATATCACGGAAGTTCCAGGTTACAATTGTAAGAAAATCGGAGAGGATTAAAACCTTTCAAACGCATAATTTACCGAAACGATCCCTTAGGTGCCCCCGACTTAAGAGTGCTAGCAAAGAGCGATTGAGCAAGTCGACAATTTGAGATGTTAAAAGTTCTCTCTGCTTCTCGCAAACATGATTTGATTGATTCTCTGTTTTGTGATCAGATGAAGAGGATCCATATGAAAGAAAAGAAGATGGCTTAAAAAGGACGCTCAAGGTAAAGAACGATCCTTCATGAACTTAAAGTTTCAGTTAGCCCTTTTCAATTACTCAATTGTCAAGAACCTTAGACTAACCTTATCTGTCTTACTTGGTCTAACTGACGCGACATGAGTGTAGTAACCGAGTGTGGAGAGCATACCCTTATATCCTTCCCTCCTTCTTCAATTAGCGCCTGGTTCTCAGGTTAATTGATACCTGTTCTCTGATTATCGTATTCCGCAAACTCGAGCGGATGTGAAAAGAAGAAGCACACCACACGGGTTACAAAATTTTCTTTTTACAAGATATTGGATAGGAGTATTTGAGTACTGTGAGAGGCTCGAAGTGTGATAGGCGGGACGAGGCGCTGGGGATTCTCTCCTCATCCTCATCCGAGAATCTTAAGTAAGCGTATAACAAATGCGTGCTAATCTAGATTTTCAAGTCCAATCGTTACGCAGGCAGTGTCGTTGCTCGATCAATTAAGTTAACTTTATTTTATTGAAATCGTAAACTTTCAAGTCTTATTATGTTATTTCTCACTGATGTTTATTGCTACATCTCTCACCAACAGAAAACAAACGAGACTAAAGCGACGAAAAAAGTAAAAGCAAGTGCTGGTCCAAAATTAATAAAGCAAAAGGACATCAAACAGCCCAAGGAAACCAAAGCAAAGAAATCCAGCAAGACATAGCCTGATAATGGCTACTGCTCGGCCTCTGTTCAAAGTCTGCCTCCTTTTGAAGAGAGACCGAGTTGTGCATCATTCATTTCACACTACATCCGGGAGATTACAGAGATTACTTCAACTCTTTCAAGGCTTTTCATAGGGCTAGAAATGGATTGACAGGATTGTGTCACGCAAACGTCTGCCATGTGGAAGAGGGATACAAATTTTGAAGAGACGATGTGTTGCAAATAAAAAGTAGGAAATTCGCCCGTGGTAAACGACTACCACAGCATACAGAGTCGGTAATCTAGGAGAATGATTATCCCATCCACAAGCCTCTTCCAACTATCATTTTTTTAAAAATATATTTAAGGTTAAACGTTGTCACGCATTACTACAGATCGAGACAGCATCCACTTTTTTTTCTCCGTGGGTCCGCTGAAGAACAATTCACGAAACATCTGAATGTTGCCACGAGCCATCAGGACGCGAAAACGCGATAAATTGTACGAGTGCCCTGTTTTCCGTCAGTAACCTGATTCTCCGGTCCAGGTCGCTCGCGGAGAGAGAGTACGTGGCTGCGAGCGACCTGGACCGTCTGAGAATCAGGCTACGTGTTCACAAAATTTTCCTAGACCACTGGGAATCTTTCTCTTAGATCATTCCCTCGTGATAACATGTGTTTTTTCATGCAAAAACATCGACTGAGAAACGTGGAAAAGTTCCTCGTACATGAGAAATGTGCGAAGAAAAGAGGCTCTTGCATGAAACAAACACTGGATGAAGAAGATTTGAGAATTTAGGATGAGGAAGTTGACTGAGAAAATAAACGATGAATCAAATCTTAATCCTGCTGATGTCGATTTACTCTTGTTCAATGTACATGTATTTACAGAAACATGACAAGTAGAACTAACTGTGAACAATACTCAAAGCATGCGAGTGAGTGGAATCGACTTTTGAAGCTCTAAATGGTAACTAACCACGTTAAATGCAAAATACTACTTGTCAGAAATATCCTTGAAATTATGTTTCCGTCTTCCTTTTCTTAGGGAAGCTTGTTCTATTTACGCTATATTCGTGGTAACGAATTGTTCTTTTCACTATTTCGAATTTCAAACTAACAAACAAACGTCTGTAAAACTTGAGATATTTTCCTCGATAAAATATATGAGACAAGGAAGAGTGCAGAAGCGGCCTATACTTAAGTGTGCGTTTTGTTAAAGATTGTTATGTCCCTAAAACGTTTAAAGCGAATAGAACAAAAATTTTGTAAACCTTATTACAAGTTATTCCGCTGTTCACGGCATGAAATACCTCACCGTTCATCATTTACGAATATGAAGAACAACCTTTTCCTCGACATAAAGAAAACTGTCACAAAACACACTGTACAACGGTATAAAAGTATTTGCCTAAAAATCTGTAAAAGTCGATAAAAAGTTCAAAACTCTCGACAGAGAGAGCGTTAAGGCTATAAGAATGTTTCTTTTCACTGGTCGTGCCCAACAAGACCCAGTCCTCGCACGAGCAGTCGCACAGCTTCCAAAGGATCCTGAACCATGTCCAAACGTCGTTGCCACTTGAGCGAGTTGGATTTCCTCGCCTTATAAGGCGTGGCCTTGCATGGCGTGGGTGGCGCTAACTGACTTATGGTATTGTCTGATTTGGATTTCATCATGTTTCGCTTCGTTTCCAGTCTGTGGTTTCGTTCAGCTATGTTGTGTACGCTTTTGATGTCCTCCACGATCTTTTTCATGTTGAGAATTTCACGTGCGATGGAAGAGTCCCGGCATAACAATACAAGAAGACAGCAAGTCTTGGAGAAGATAACACTTTTGTCTCTGAAATTCGCCAGGAGCTCTACCAAGGTGTCGATGGCATCCGGTTCCTCGTAAACGGCTCGATAAACGGATGGGTACTAGAGAAGAAAGAAAGAAATGAATCTTTGAAACTTTTCGCGGGTTCCTGTGGGTTCGCAAAAGATGAATCCAATGGAACCGACAGATACCGCTCACATATCATGGTTCACATCCGTCAATACGCATTCTAGGTCTTGAACGAGCTACTTCACGATTAGCGCATCTTAAAAAGTATAAAAATTTCGCAAGTTCGTCGATTATAATCCGTGTTAATCTTCTCTATCCTTAACCATCCGTGTTCCTATATGGTTTATTGTTGTGCCCGATCGTTGCATCGAGTGATTTCCTTGACCGCTAAACAATCCAAAAGAGCGACAACTAGTATTTCATGTATTCCACGGTAGCTTCAGGAAATATGAACCATCTTCGTGCTCAGTGCATGCTTGTATATTTTGCCTTTATCAATGAATACACTACTGTTTGGAGACAAAAAAGTCTTTAAATATTGAAAACGAAGGCTCAGTTAGTATCTCCAACAGAAGAACGGAATGAAAATAATCGAAATCCAGCTCACCTTTCCAACGTTAAAGAGGATTGATATGGAGTACTTGATGACCTCCAAGTGCGGTAAACTGCGGTTACACTTCTTAATAACTTTGAAGATTACAGGCAGCGCGCCATCTTTTACTACCTGTTGACAACACACCTCTGATAGACGAGTGACGACCTCTGCGGGGAGACAAAAAAGCAACTAAATATTGTTTTGTTGTGCGTTGCAAATTGCATATGATTTGAGGAAAAGATGCATACCGTTATGTTCCGAGAGTAAAGACCCCCATTTCTTTCTGATTTAGCAACCTGTTCCTAACACTACTTTAGAAGGGTCACAACCTTTTTAGGGGGAGGAGTCACTATTGTCTGGTAGCTAATAATGAGGGCCGATCCGTCTTAATAATTTAATGACAATGTTTTCAGTATATCGAGGACATCATTTCCACGGTCTTTCAAAGTGTAGATCACGAAAAAAATGTGGTCGATGTGTTAACTTAAAGGCTCTTTCTGTGCGGGGGGTCCTCCATAGAACAGACATCTAAACAACAATTTAGCGGTTGAATCAAACTGATCATTTCCTCTTTTCTCGTGTGGCCAGGAAACCCACTAAAACGTGCAATATTCGAGTCAGAAAGGCAGTGTGGTTCAATGGACTCGTCTAGTCTAAACTTACCCAGATTAACAAGCGCTCCAACTATTCTACTGATGTTCTTACACTGCAACAGAAAGTCCAGAGCAGATCTGGTGCGGTTACAAAGCTTCATAGGTTCAGTTGCTGCAGCATTGGCCGACTTGATGCGCTTGCGCGCTCTTTTAACCTTGAGAGAGAACACCTCACATCTGACTCGGTAACCGCGCCAAAAGGCCTGGTGATACCAACGAAAGACATAAGTCATCGATGAGTAGTAACAAAAATTTGTCGAGGAAAAGTTGAGTGTTAAATAGTTTCCGTATTCTAGCTTATTACAATGAGCTATTCAATGTTGTATTCAAAATGTTTGCCAGATACCAAAAGAGCCCGGGGTATCCAATCGATCAAATCGATAATCGATGACAATCGATATCAATCAATACCAAAGATTCGTGTGGTTATCGATTGGTATCGATCTTCAATAACCATCGATAGATAAACTGATATCGATTGGAATCGATTGGTTGCAGATTGAAGGAATCGGCGCATAAGTATCCCATCTTTGTACGCAGTAATTGTAAACACATTTCATTTTAATCCTTTGAACGTTAATAGGAGAGCAAGACTCTTTTCTTTCTCTTCAACGTCCCGTCCACAGGTATTCGTCTTCTTTTGACAACTCAAAAGTTTGTTCCCGTCCTTGCCTTGCCTGGTTAACAACTTTAAACGCGTTTCCGCGTTCTCCCCCCTTCTTGTCAGAAACACTTCACGGACGTTCACCTCAAAACGGCAAGGATGATAGCCTTTGGCGATGCACCTTATTCAGTAAAGCCTCTTGCCGGACTTCTTGCGTAGACATATATAATGACACGGAAAGGCAATGACGGGCAAGTGGGTAATTCGAGTACACGTGCAACGGGGTATATTCTTCGCGTTGAGAAGACTGGGTCGGAATTATTTTACCAATTTCGTCCCCTGGGCTTCCTAAAAATGGCGGATGATCGGACAGGTTCGAGGTTGCTGTGCCAATCGATAAGCAATGGATGAACAGTTTTTGTGTGGTTATCGATTGATCATTCATTGACCTATAGTAATCGATACCAATTAACTAACTTTATCGATTGATATCGATTGATCGATTGGTTTTTCGATTATCGATTTCCATCGATTGCATACCCCGGGAAAAGATAGGCCGCAATGTTTCAACAACATTAACACCAAGCCTGTTTTCGAACCTGAATTCGTAGTGCAGATTCCTGTAGTTTTCTCAAGAGCTTCCTAGCCATGACTCCCCTGAAAAGGGCCTGGATCTTAGCTGCTCTTTTGTGCTTCGTCTCCAGTTTCTTTCGCGTTGCTCTTTGTAAGACAATAACAGCAGAGCGAAGCCTGGTAAACCGCTGACGTTCAAGAACACTGCGCCACCAATACTAAGGAGAAAAGAAAGAAAATTTTGAGACCACTGTCCTTACTTAACAAATATGGCAGCAATACTATACTGTCCTAATTATACGTCGATTACCTTTATGAACGCTTTGGAACATTGTCGGCGTAAACTTAGTAATCGTTGGATAAAGTTTAGGCTAACTTTGAAAACTAACCACATTGTAGAGAAACAACAACACAACCTGAGCAATTTGACATGTGACAGTTTCGTACTCGACAATGATTGGCTCAAATAACTGGTAGTGCAGTAAGCTCTATCTCTTTATTCTGCATTCGGTAAAATGTTGCGCGTTACTGTTGGCCCTCGTTAACTAAGAAAAGATAAATTGAGGTCTGTCGGGGGTTGACATAGGAACAAGAATGCACCGCCTCCTAGACAAATCAAATCAGGCGAAAAATTTTCTTAAAACGATTTCACAGTTTTGTGCCGGGGGACTTCTACCTGGATAAGGAGTACAGCATCCATTCGGGCTTTCGCCAAAGCCATCGCACGTGCTCGGCGGTAATATCGCTGAATTCTGATGACGTTCAAATGATGATGCACTGCTGATGCAAACTTGTTTAAGTGTACCAGGCGCTCCGCTCTCTGACGCTGAAAAAACAATGTTTAGTCTTGCTAGACACTATCACCATGAGCAAATTCTATGAAGAATCCAGTAGGCGTTTAAAATATTAACCAAATGGCAAATAAAAGAGCGATGTAGTAACGAAGAAGTGGGCTTTTTACAAAGCTATCCCATCATTTCTTCCATATTCATGGAAGGATGCCTTTTCCGAGGAGGAACCGAATTCTGAATACGCGGTTCATAGTACTACAGGTCTTAAGACCCTCATTTCCTTTATTATGCTAGTTACAAAGGGCAAGAAAGCTTAACTAGTGTAAAAAGCAATGTCTTACTTCAATCCTTTTCCTGGTGATGAATCCCCTGACTGCCGCCTGTATGGTGCGCGCAGCACGTACGTCACTCGCGATTACACGCCCGCAGTGCCCGCGGTAAGCGGCCTGTAAGATAATAGCAGCTTCCTTGAGATTGCGGTATTCCTCGCGAGCTCTTCTTCCTGCTACATTGCTTCGGAACCATCTCTGGATCAGAATCGCCGCTCTGATTTGACAAACAACACAGCGAGCCTTCCAGCCGCGATAACATGATTGAAGCTTAACAGCTGCGTGCTTAGACGCCAGAAATTCTTCCCTCATCTTCCGAGAGGCAAAGTTTGCTCGGACTTTTCTTTGCAGAAGGATTGTAGCGTGTTTGAATTCACGGTAATTCTTCTGACACCGTCGTGCCCTTGCCGTTGCTTGCAGTACGATCACCAGTTGTTTCGCACGGCAGTAAGCCCGTCTTTGTATCATTGCTCTAACGTTGGTCTGGATAAGTATGGCAGCCTTTAGTTTCTTCACTTTACCTCTAGCTTTGCTCCCTCGGTAACAGCTCTGTGAATTAAAGGAAAAACAAAGGCTACCTTTAGACAAGGTGTTCTACAAACCAGAACTTTGCACAATCCATTTAGCTCCAGGGTTAAAGTTTGAACATTTGGAGACTTCGAATGAAACTACAAAGCATAAACTTTGTCCCCAGAAATCAAACTCGCTCACCGGACCTTTTCAGCACAAAATACAAGTAGCGTCCGGGAGCCCCAAGGGGCATCGAATCCTAATCTATGGTCACAACTGCTTAGCCCTAAAATGATATTGAAAACTAATAAAAACTTTTTTCTACACTTCTTACTGTTGATTACAGGAAGGGACGATACCTGAATTCTAGTTGCTGCCCATTGCATCAGTTGGCATCTCTGGCGGACCGCTTTCCCCAACATGTACGCTCGATACCGACCTTGAATGACGACCGCCGCCGAGCGTTTTCTAAGAAATTTCGTCCTTTGTCGACGCATGCGTACCATGGACTGAGCCAGCACTACGGTCTGTCTAACACGAAGATATGCCTGTCGCTGACAATGACGTCTAAAGTGGGACTGAATAAGGATTGTGGCATGTCTAAAACAGTGATATTCTTCATTGATCTTCTTCATTGTCACTTGAGCTCTGTACCATTGTTGAATGGTAACAACTGCTTCTCGTTTTCTTACAAATCGCTTTCTTACTTGATTGCGACGAACCGTTGCTTGTAATCTGCACACGACTTCTCTTACACCAAGGAACATTCTCCGCGTAACTTTTCGTCGAAAGTTCGCCTGTATCCTGATAACAGCTCTAAGCTTGCGAACGAACTTCTGCGCAGCGTACATGCGACACGCAGACTGCAAAGTAATGATGGCACCGCGGATCACGTGATACGCAAAGTAGGTTTCCTCCATGAGCCGAAATCCACGGTAATACCGCTGAACTTTTAGTGCTGCTGCATGCCTTCTCTGATTCTCCTCCAACATCTCACGAACGCGCTGTCTTGCTTTGAAACCACGGAAGCGCGCCTGTATGACAGTGGCGCTTTTACGCATTGTCTGGTAACACTCGCGTTGTCGTTTGCAAAGCGTATTAGCTCTGTATCTCGTCTGTAATGCAGAGGCAGTTTTCTTCAGCTTATGGTAAGCCATGACCAACTTCCACATGCGCGCCACAGCCTGTATCTGAATGGCGGCTTTCCTAGTTCTTTCGTACTCACTTCTGGCCAAGGACATTTTCCAGTAGGACTGCAAAACAATGGTGGCGTTCTTCAAGCGCAAGAATTCTGTTCTTTGAACACGGGTCCTGATGCAAGCTCTGCGGTGTTGTTGGACGGTGATGGCTGCTGATCTGATTGCGTTGTACTGTCTTCGGCAACACCATGCTCTTATCTCGGTCTGCAACATAATGCAAGCCTTCCTCTGCGCCAGATAACTCTGTCTCGCCTCTTGCATCTCTCGCCTAGTTCGGAATCGCTGTTGAATGACTAAAGCGGCGACCCGAAGGTTCAGATAGACTCGTCGCGCAATATGCCGCCTCGCTGCTGCCTGGATAATTACTGCAGACGATTTCTGGGCGAGGTATTTGGAGCGACATGTGTAACCACGGAAGGCGGATTGGATTATAAGAGTAGAGGACTTCAGCGCATTGTAGTTCCGGGCTACTGCTCGGCCAAGAAGCCAGGCGCGGCATCGAAGTTGTAAGACAAGTACAGCTCTTTTAGTAGCTTCATACTGCTTCCACGCCAGAAACCCGCGAACACAAGCCTGAATCTTGACAGCGGCATTGCGCATCCTGCGCAGTCTCGCTCGTACAAGGTATCCTCTAACTGCCATCTGTAATGTAATAACGGCGCCTCTCATAAAGTGAAACACCAGCTGATCACGCTTACAAAGTATTGTCGCCCTAAACCTCCGCTGGATCACCAGCGCTGAATTCTTCAAATTGGTGAATCTCCTTCGGTGTTGAAGCATGCGCGTTTGAGCTTGCACTTTGACGATAGCTCTCCTAATAGCGAGGTACTCCTTCCTTGCCTTTTGCATCTTACACGTCGCTTGGATCAGCCTCACTGCTCGAAGTCTTCTGGCCAATTTTCTGTCGAGCCAACCACGTACACAAGCCTGGAGACGAATGGCAGCACTTCTCAAAGCAAGGAAACGTTCCCGTTGTCTTCTAGAGTCGTGCATAGCTCTGTACCTCTGTTGAAGAACTATGGCTGCGTTCTTCATTTCTAGGTATCTCTTACGACAGAGGTAGCTACGCCCTGCCGCTTGTGCAACGATGCACGCCCCGCGTTGAACGTGGTAATGCACGTATTGACGCATGCCAATCACGCGGGCACGGTACCGCCTCTGGAGCATAATAGTGGCTTTCTTGAGATCGTGAAAGTGTTTTCTCGCCAAATACCCACGAGCTAGCGCTTGAACGCGAACGATGCACTTGCGGGAAATATTATAGGATTTTCTGGCGAGGTATCCTCGATAGGTCGCCTGGATTTTCTTGGTAGCCCGTAGACGTTCTACCCGTTTTCTTGCTTGATAACCACGAAAAGAAGATTGAATCTTTATGGCTGCTTGCTTCAGGTGTTTAAAATTGGAACGCTCCTGACGGGCAAGTAAGAGGGAACGATAGTGAAGTTGTAGAACCATAGCAGCCTGCCTTAAAGATCGGTACTTCGTTTTGGCCACGTGGCTTCTGTAAGATGTTTGAATCAGCACCGCAGCGAAGTGCAGACGTTTAAGATCTTTCCTGACTTTCCAACCACGAACAGCAGACTGCAAGACAACAGCCGCCTTAAGAATGTTGTAGGACTGTCTCGCACGATACCCTCTGTAATGCGCCTGAATGCGCATGGCACACGAGCGTATCCGCTGGTACTGTGAAACGTGTGAACGAGTCAGCAAGACGGAGCGAAAGTGCTGCTGTATTACAATAGCTGAGTGCTTCATCTGACGGTATCTTTTCGTAGCAGAATACTGGCGGAACGAAGCTTGAATCATGATGGCCGATGTGTACTGTACAAGAAGGTGTTTGCGGACAATGTTTCCCCTGACTATGGCTTGAAGACGAACAATGGCAAGACGAATGCGTTGATAATCCATGTTCTGGTGACGGCCTTGCATCAGAGCGCGATAGCGAGTTTGGATGACGCTTGAAGCGTGTTTTAAAGCCAAGAACTTGTTTCTCGATAGACAACGGCGTGTGTGCGTTTGAAGGGTAACAGTGGCCTGTTTGACCCGCATTAAGTGCTTCCGGCATCTGTAACCTCTATAGCGCGATTGAATCATCACGATAGATAGTTTGGTCTGTTTAAACTTCTGCCGAGCAGTTTTTGTACGCAGCAACGCCCTGAATTTTCTCTGGATCGTCACAGTGGATGCTACAAGCTTGAGGTATCTTCTCTGAGCGACATTCTTTCTCACGAGCGACTGAATCAGTACAGCAGCTTCTCTTCTCTTTAAAAATGCGCTCCTCTGCAAGTAACATCTGACAAAAGATTGGATCTTGACACAAGCAGCCTTTTGAGTCTCATACTTGTGCCTTTGCTGCCGTCCAAGGAAAGCCGCTTTGAAGTAAGCCTGTAGTCTTCTCGTGGCGTTTTTCATAACAGCAAACCTTCTTTGTGCTTGACACATCCTAGTGTGAGCTTGTATCTTGATAGTCGCACGTTTCAGCAAAACGAATCTCGCACGGTTTTGCCATGCGCGCACGTGACTTTGGATTTTAATTGCCGCTCGAATTTGCCTTACGACGCGGCGATCACGTTTACCCCTGAAGAACGACTGTAGCGCAATCACACATTTCCTCAGCTGAAGATATCGTGCCCTATCTCTTCTCCCTAACATCGTTGCTCCGTAGATTTGCTGAATTAGCAAAGTCGCCCTTTGAAGCCGCAAAAATCTCCTCCGTTCTTTGGCTCCTCTGGTGAAAGCTTGAATTTTAACACAAGCCGCGCGTTGCTCAACAAACCGTCTTCTTGCCACGTATCCTCTCCAAGCAGCCTGCACTATCGTCGCAGCTTGGTTTCTTTTTACGTGTCGTTTTTTCTGATTGGCCAAAACGATAGCCTGTAGTCGCACAACAGTTTGACGGAAGTTTCTGTACCAGTCCAGGACCTCTCGGCCTTTTCTAAAGGCCCGGTAGTGAGTCTGGATGCACCGAGCGGCTTGGTGACGATCGCGAAGTTGTTTGCGAAATAGGTGACCACGGTACACAGACTGAATGAGGACAGCGGATTTCCTTACGGCTTGAAATCTACGGTGTGCCATAGCGGATCTGGCTTGTGCCTGTAAAAGGAGGAATTATGAAGTTAAACGGTTACTACCATGGGTACGACTTCGAAAACCCAAAAGACAATTTCACTCATGGAAATCTAAAGGAAAATAGTCTAGGTTTGATAAAATTACTACATATCAGCACTGAAGCTATAAAAGGAGCGTTATAATGAGTTACGCATGGACAAGAAAGATGATTTTTCTGTGAGTGATACAGATGTACTCAGAAAATGAAAGGCGACTTCTCTATATAGAAGCCAGCCTAACACGTTGTGGTTAGTGGTCCAGAAGCTCTACCACTGAGCTACAAAAGACTCGTGGTAGCTAACGCCATTAAACTAAGTTCATGTGAAAAACATGAAGGGAAAGTGTCTTAGAGAAAATAGCAAAAACTTGCTCTCCCTTCGTCTATTAACTTGATATTTGATCTTGGTGTTCTGTGCTGTACGAGCGAAGGTACTTATGAAACCTACTTAAGATTGAAAGGTAACTTTGTTTACAAGAAACTTGTGTCTTGCTCCAGTTTTACAGCATTAAGTAAAGCACTAAAAGAGTTACTACTACCGTAACACACAAGGTTTCGCTACAGTTGATATTCTTACCATTTCTTACCTGAATGAAAACTACTATCCGTGCAACGTTCTGTGAGAAAAAAAAGGAGTGGATACAACTGATTAAGGACGTTCGCGCGAAATGTTCTACCCGATAGATTTTCTTCAAACTTCTACCGGGGACAGATAATGGATTACTTATTTCAGAAATGAAAAAAAAAAACTGGAAAACTAGTCTGATTTTGAAATTTGACGCGCGTAAATTAGCCTGAGCTCCTGGGTTTTTAGCTCAAAATATCAAAGATGAATCGACGGAGACAAACTATCCTAGTAAAATTTTGTATAAGTGAATCCGTTGCGTTAATAATTGCAAACGTTTCCAACGTTTTCACAAAACTTAACCCTTTACATTATAAGAGATGTTTGAAACTTCAAACCGCCGCACAAATAAACGAAGAGCTAAAAAGAACGGAATTCGATGGTGCATTTTGCAAAAAATTCAAACTTCTAAATCGATAGATTTTCTTCATTTTTCCGCTAAACGTAAGAAATCGGTGGAGAAAATGATCCATCAAAAGAAAAACTAGGGGTCACCGTACGTCCAAATCCAGGCAAAGCTATAGCATCTGCCCTATCACTGTTCATTTTATTACTTAGCGCGCGCTCGTGGCGTGTGAATTAATAATGGTAATAGGACTGAGTGGAGTCCAATTCGGTCTGTAATCATACGAGTGATTAACAAACTCGGACGACCGCGAAGCGGGAGTCCGATTTGTTAATCACGAGTATGATTACGGACTGAATTGGACGACGCGAAGCCCTGTTACCAATTAATCAAAACTATGACAAAATTCGAGAAACGAACAAACCATCGATTGAGCGCTGAACGAGTAAACGTCGTTATGAATGCTGAAAAACAGCAGTTTACTCAACAATGTGTACCGCAACAGCGCGCGCAAAATGACGCGTACTGTCCAATTACAAGCATGACGCGTACACTGTCCAGTTAATGCTCAAATCGGGCTGCTGATAGCCAATCACGTTCGAGAATTTCGTTATAGTTTTGATTAAGTTGTTAATCATTCAGGTAAGGTAAGCCCATCATGAATTGTAAAGGACACAACAAAATCATACTGGGTCATTTTTATGTCGGACAAAATAGCCTTTCAATCGGGGATAATTCCAAAAAAGGCGGAGAAACAAGAAAGATGATTGATCTTGACACTAATATTTTTGACGTCACTGGGCAGTGTTCAGTGTTGTGAACGATCGAATTCAGATTCTAGTCCTTGGCAATCAATTTAACTAAGGTAATTTTAAACATTGATTTAGCGTTCAGGAAATTATTAACTGATGTTGTCCTCGAAGCTTTTTTCTAAACCAAAGTTTTTCAATTTGACGAACCTTTTTCCTCTCCAGTTGCCTTCTAAGTCGATGTCGTCTCCAGGCCATCTGAATGCAGCGCGCGGCCTTCGTTTCCTCGCGAAGATCTAACAAACGCGCGCAGAGATACGCCACATAAGTAATAACAACCTGAAATGAACAAATCGCGTCTTGAGTTAGAGTGGCAAAAGCATGAACAGTTTTTATGAGCGGACGGACGGACGTCAAGAATCTTTGGAAAAGGATATGTAATGCTTTTATTTACCTTCTCGTCGGGAATTGTGTAAGACATGTCCGAGGCCTTTGTCATCAAGGGAACACCACCCAGTTCTTGTACCTGAGATAAACAGGTGAAGGAATAATGAGAACAATTCGATACGGGAGCGCGATGGCCTCACGGTTAATGCGCTCGTCTCCGGATCGAGCTGTCCGGGTTCGAGCCCTGGCCGGGGACATTGTGTTGTGTTCTTTGGCAAGACACTTTACTCTCACAGTGCCTCTCTCCACTCAGGTGTATAAATGGGTACCGGCAAATTTAATGTTGTGGGTAGCCCTGCGATGGACTTCCCCTGCATCCCATCCAGGGGGGAGTAGAAATACTCCTAGTCGCTTCATGCTACAGAAACCGGAGATAAGCGCCGGCTTGATGAGCCTCTTGGTTCGTATGCAGACTTTACCTTTACCTTACCATTTGATACAGCCATGGAAAACACCAACATGCACAAACTGTCTCTCACCTTCTCCGCCATTGTGCGGAAATTCTCGCGCTCGTTGTTTTTCAATTCCTCTAGAAGTACGTTCGTTCCAGAACCTGAAAGGAAGGGTAAGAGAACCTAATAATTAAGTGTTGCACAAAGTTTCAATATATGTCTTTAAGAACAGCTAGGAATACTGGAGAATACATTTTATCTCCGAGAATCGATTGTCTGATCTCATGGTTTTCGTTAACATAACGTTTTCTTATGGCTAACGGATAAGAATGAGAAACGCTACGGAATTCTTCTAAGGAATAATGGTAGATAACCGACGGCACTGCTGAAGGCATGAATATAACCTCGGATCAAGCTTGGATGAGAAATAAAACATGACAAAAGGACACTGTGATGTTTGGAGGCAACTGTTGCTTTGGCTCACTTGCTAAGATTCGTCACTCTTTCTGAAGTCTTTTCGTGCCACAAATAAAATCGAAAATGGGATTTTGGAAATGATGCGCCTGCTTACCTGGGCTAAATGTCGCCGTCCACGATTTCACATTCATTCCTTCTTCCCCCTCGCTGTCACTCGTGTCGTGTACCCCCGGATTGCAGGTCAGACTTGTTTGTTCTTTGACAAGTGACCGGGGGAGTAGTGAAGGGTGATAATGGTGAAGTAGGTAGCAGAGTGCACGACCGTCCGAGAAGGAGACAGTGAAATTCTCGATCTGAAATGATAAAGGGATTCAAACAATGGTTAGACACTTGAAAGCAAGATAAGATATTATATTTCCCACCCATGGGTTTATCTACTTCTTTTCTCTTTTTTGCGTTCTCGGTTCTGGAATTCCAATGGTTTTTCTTTAGACGTGTTATTAAATGAATTCGCATTCTTACCTTCAAACCGTACAGTCTGCAGACTATCTTACACCATTTGAAGAGCAAGCGCAGCCGATCTGACTGGAAATACAGGTCTGACGAGTCACGGCGTTTCCCCGCGAAATCTGTATTGTCTCCGTCGGCCCAGTTGTCTGCAGCAGTTAACTGAACGCGGAGAAGCCTGGTACTCTCCAAGTGAGCTATTTCCTCCTTTAGCAGTTTTTCGCTAAGAAGCACATTGACCTGTGACAAGTTTGTGAAAGAAGTTGTATGGTCAATGACAAAGTTGACTGTTCAGTCTTCTTCTAGTCATCAAACGGCATCGCAATCAAGGCTTTTATAAATTTATTCCTCAAGAAGGGAAAGCCGGGCGTGTAACTGAAAGATATTCGGAACTTTTTACAATTCTTTTTTAGGGCGCGCACAATACATTCGCCCTAACGCTTCTGGCACGAATGAGTCAGCCGTAATACCAAGTTACGTTTGAAACTTCTGCATCATCATATCTTACCTGGAAATGAAAAATAATCTGCCACAGTAAAGCGAGTGTTTTCTCTCTGTGTCCATCCACAACATGGCGCGCGTCAATAACCCCACCTGATAAATAAGGTATAAACACTTACGTTACACACGGAAGGATAGTTGATTTGCCGTACAAAGAGCACGTGTCCCGAACAAGGAGGGTGAGACACGCACGAAGGGGAAAATACGACGAACCCATGCGTCCTCAACCGTGCGTAAGTCGAGCTGAACGCTCGCGTGGGCGCATCGAAGACAGACAAGTGTACATTTACTGGGGCGAACTTTGAGATTATCGAAATGCGTAGCGCACTGCACTCCATACACAGATGGAAGTATTTCTCGTTGATAAGAACCACTTATCTTACATTTAACTCCTCCGACAAGAACACCTCTTTCTTTCAACGCGTTTATGAAGACGTCGACGTTGTGTATTTTCTGTAAGAGAAGAAATAGGAAGCGTCAGCTTAGTCTACACACATTGTAAGTAACACATTGTAACACGGAGACTTGTATTAACGAAATGAAGATCTCTTCCCTTTTCTGTGGCTTATCTCTCTCTCAGCTATAACACAACTCGACGGTTCATTCACCTGTAATCTGGAGATGGCTGGAACACGGAGACTTGCCGATAACTGCCAATCTTGAGTCAAAAGCTCCGCCACGCGTCTGCGCATTAAAACAGATTGCCTGGTCAGTATTCAGCTAAATGAACTTTGATATCAAAATAACGAATTGATTAAACTTTTGGCTTGCAGAATTTTAGACGTCCTCCATTCAAGTCACTTAGCGAGGACAAGTGAAAGTTAGGCCATAACATGTTATTTTCCCATCACATTTTGCGTCTTTTTAAACACTGGAGAACTGGAAGCATCTAAAGTGTCAGCCAAACCTAGAGAGTTAAAAAGGTAGAGGTAGGCACTCACGTTAAGCGCAGACCATCTCGGAGATCTATGGCGATGTTCTTCACGGCATAATCAACCTCATCAATTGCTCTCTGAAGGGAAATAATATGAAAGGAGTGTTGCAGTCAAGTACTGTATCAGAGAGATCGAATAAAGTCCTGAATGTAAATGTTCCGTTTTTCAACATCAAAACTCAAGACCAGTGGAATGAGTTCCTTACCTGAGAATGCGTAACCGAGTACCCCAGAAAGCTCAAGTGCTTCGTAACGTCTCCTTCTCCTTTGAGGTACTCACGAGAGAACGTTAGTAGAAGACTGCGACTTGACTACGAAATAAAATGAAACGTTGCGGTTCAACATCTCTATGAACTATGCAAGTAAACTTACATATAAACAAAAGTTCACGTTTCACAATCAGTCTAGGGTCTCGGATTGTTAAGCGGTTATGATTTTTGCAGTTCCACGAAAGTAACACCAATGAGATTTACTATATTGATCTCCGCGGTGTTGTAGTGGGAAAATAGCTCACTAAGCACTCCGGGAGACATCTTTTACTTACTACGTAGAAGTTTTAGAACACTTCTTTTCTTAATGCTCTCATTAGTATTGTCTACACGGGAGTTCGTACCCTCTTACCCGCGACAGTTTTCTCAAAATTTATTAATACCCAAACAGCTCAAAACGTGTTCATAAACTGGATTAGCTATGTTAGCACGACTTCTAAAGAAAGTGTCCTCTCCTTTCACTAACTTTTTGGAACTTTGGACATTACTTTGCGTATAAACTTCACGTACAAACCTTGAAAGACGCATCTTTGTTGAAGAGGCATGGGTTGTGATCGATAAGCCGAGTCAACTTAGCGCGATCCAAGAACAACACCAACAAAAGAAACTTCTTTAGAGTAAACTTGCCCAGCTGTTCTACATAACCTGTGAGCAGGAGTTAAACGGTGAAAGTAGCTTAGGTATAATTTTTTCGTTTTATCAAAATCATTCGAGAAAATCCGTTCTGTTGCATTGTTTGTTTTAATTTTGTGATTAATTTCACAAGGTCGCACGTTTCCAGAGAGGCGCAGTAACCTGCCTTGGGAACACGGTCCTGTACGCCATGAAAGTACGCAATGAAAACTCTTAAACTGCATTATCCAATGATGCAGTTTTTAATAATGGTGTACATGTTTATGCTATGGGTAGTGCTCAATGAACTAGCGAAGAAGCAAGATTCCTGGCTGGAGGAGATTCTTTGGTGCAGTACTTTTCAGACGCATAACACTTTCAAATCCGCAGTAATGGCAAAGAAACAAGAAGACAACTTATCTTAGCTGTTCCATGTTGTAGTATTTCAAGTTTATATTGTAAATCGGAATCAAAAAATAAATACATCTGCGGCAAAATAGGAAGTAACGTCTTGCACTCTGCTTTCGGGCTAATTTTGACTATCAGTCTTTCGACTGTGTAAATTTTCATCAGCGCCCGAAGCAAACTGGAACTTGTGAGATATCGTGGTGTGTGGAAAGCAAGTTGGTCAAGTCACCAGAGAGTAAGGGCACCTCAATCGCGAGGGGGAGAGGGAGGGGAGGCTCCCAGATATACAACAGGGAGTGTGAGTAACAAAAAGCCTAGATTTTATGAAACGATAAATGAAATATAAAATTCGTTTACCTTCCCGGCACAGTCCTGGGACCTGTGGATGAGCAAACGCCCTAGCAATATCCGGGTTACCAAGTAATCGACTACTGAGGAAATGCGTCAAACCTGCTACGTCATTATTGGAGTAAATGGGTAAAATTTCACCATATATGGTCTGAAAAACAGTGAGTAAGAGCAATCGTGAATGAACCTTTACAGAACATGCAGTAGAGCTTCTTGTCCCAGCTTACAATCAGCTTCTAATGTCAAACAAAGGAGGATAGTACAAGATCTTGGCAGAACCTTGGTAAAGTTGATCAAGGAAACATGACTTTTTTTTCTGCAAATTCAGATAGTTTAATTTGCCATTACACTGGATAGCTTACCTCCAGTCCAATTCTCAGCCACAATGTGTTATAAGAGAGGATCATGTCAATAACCTGCTGTTTGATTCCTGAAACAAATAGTTTACTAAGAGTTTGTATAAGTTGTAAGATTTTTTTGCTTTAAAATTCTTTCAAGTGACAAAACAACCCACCACAGGCTGGAGCACCTGTCCTGGATTAATGTTGTTAAATGACTTGTGTATGGTTGAACCTCTTCTTGGAGACACCTCCACAATATGTACATCTCTAAATTACTGACAGCTCACTTGGTCCCAGAGAAACAAGAATTGATATAAACTCTGCCCCTGTGATACAGACACCTCCATATGCAGGCACTCTGCTCTGGCCCTTCACTGTCTGAAGCGGAGTGAATGTCTATGACAACCCTGTCTACTTACAAATTTATATACCCATCATCAAGTTACTATCAGTATTGTACATATGGGAGTGCCGAGCAGAAAAAATGTCAACTTGAGAGTATGGTGGTCACCAGTAAATTTCCTGTCCCAGCATCTCATGTATTTCATTTTCGGCAGGTGAATAAAAGTCTCAAATTATTTATCTATGGTGAGCCACGCTGAAGGATAATCGTAATCATCACAAGATCAAATTTCAAGGCATGCTGATGGAAATAGAAAACAGCTCCTTGTTGTTATTCACAAGTTTCATTCTCCCCAGGATAGAAGGTTTGTCTGACAGAAATTGGACAGTTTGTTTTCTAAAGCTGCTAGAGGTGAGGACCCTCAGACGTCAAAACACAACATTAGTACAATAGTCATGAATATAATTTTTATTTACCTTCATGCACCTTAAAATAATAAAAATGCACATAAATACAGTAGCATGACTAACCTAAATCAGCATGTAGCTTTTTGTCAGGTCTAATAGCTAGCCGTCCATTTTCCACTTCAGCTTCTATCTTGCAAATGACATGCCCTAGGGGTTCTGACTGATACAGCAGACAAGCAGATCTTCGTAAACGGGCCATCTTACGTCTAGCAGTATAGGTCCTGAAGGAGAGGACCTCTCTTGTGGGAGCCAAAGGTTGGGACTTCTTTATGGCCTTAGTTCCTCCAAGGATGACATTTCCTATTGTGGAAATATTATAAACATTTGCACATTCTCAGGGGTTTCATTATGTTATCAGCAGTTAAGTGCAACTGGTTTTCAAAGGTAGGGAAAACTATTTGAGATGAACTTCTAATGTAAGAAAAAGTTCCCTCTTGATGGTCAAACCAGGTTGTCAAAATCGTCCTCTTAACCAGTCAATTTTCCTGATGCCCAGCCGTTAATGAAACTCCTGCATTCTTTTCAACAGCATATATCACATCTTACCTTTATCATATTCAGCTTGAGTGCCAGAATCTGTTGCATCAGGTGGAGTTAGGACAAAGTTCAGCCATTTGGTGAAACCTAACAGACAAATAACAAGTCAGTCATTAAATGAAACAACATCCGCATTCTAACTTGAAGATAAAGTACATATAAATATTGGCCCCAACTTTATAGTAGCTAGCATTTATTCTTGTGAACAACACACTCTCAAATAACAAAATCTAATCAGTATCAAGACCTGGTTGTTTTAATCTCACTCAAGTACAGGCACATAAAAACAAACCAAAATTTTTATTCTAACCACACCAACAAACATGTCTGCCCTTTTTTCTACCGATGAAATCTTTTATTCTATTAAGATATGTGATAATATGTTGTTATTAAATTTTGATTGTATTTGAGTGGTGCCCAACTGAAGTCCAAGGAATGCAGCCTGATGACCTTTCACCTGATACCAAACTTGTCAACTGACTCTGAATTCTATACCTTCTTCTTGTTTTTCAATCCACCGCTCGTCATAGTACATGTTTTTTGCTGCAAAAGGCATCGGATGTCGTGGAAGGTTGGTCCTGGGAGTTTTAACCAGTTGCAGTTTTCTCTGTGGTATTCCTTTTGCTGCAACTTTTAACTTCACCTTTGGCTTAGGCTTCATTTTCAATGTTCCTTGAATGAACACAAGAAAAAATACTTAATTTTGAAAGATATCATACATTTGATTTATAAAAGCAAAAATGCATTAAAGCCCCAGCCAGGACTTAAACCCGGGTCCAGTGTGCTAACCATTGGACACCGCACATCCCATTGTTTTCTTTAATTTTACTGTATTAGTTGATAATATATTACTTGTATTCTCAGTATCTCTAAGTAACAGTTACCTGAAATAGGAGAAACTTTCTTCTTTGATACCACTGTTTTCTTTGTTTTTCCAGTAATGGGCTTGCTTATCAGCTTTGAAACTTTTGGAGTTGATGGTTTTACTTTGGCCTTGCAATTTGGCTGGCGTTTTGCACCATTTGTGACAAGATAGGTGTCACGGCACAAATCCACTTCAGATGGATGTTCCACAGGCACATTCTTGGAAGCAAATACCTGTGTGTTGATGTCCTCAAACACTGTGATGCCACTTGCCTTAACATGACAAGTATTTAGAGCTTGACTTGGTTGGAGTACAGCTTTGGGATTTTTCTGAAATCAAGGTAAACCCCCTTAGTTGGCAGGACTAGTCCTAATGATGGTTTTGGAAGCCATCTTGATGGGTAGACAACACACATAAAGACCATCGCTTCTCTGACAGAAATGAGTTATCCAAGGGACAGGAATTTGATATATACTAGGTGCCCAGGGGTGGGGAATTTGACTCTGGCTTCCTTAAAAATGTCAAATTCCCACCCTCCCCCCTACTTTGTAACATTGATAGGTACATAAAATCTTTCCATAGCTATTTAAAAGTCCGTTTTTACGGTTAATCAAGCCCTGCATGTCATCACCTGATCTTACCTTAATTACCTGGGATTTCTTGAAGTTACTTTTGGGCGCAGATCTCGCTTTCTTTGGCCCTAAAGCTGCCCCAAACACCACAACTTGAAGACAAGGAGAATTCTCCCATTTGAATCGAATAATCTCACGAAAGTTGCCACTCTCTTTTGGCTCCCATTTAACAGAAAAGTACATCTCATCCTTTGGTGGGATCGAGACAAAATTCGGTTGGCAATTCTCGCTGCTGCCAGTGTCATTGAGATCTAACGTAAAACCTCTATCCGTTGGACATTTTACTATCTCCAACGTTTGACTCATCGGATGTGGATTTAATACGACGAATGTCTCTGTTTTACTGCTTCCAACATTCACAGTTCCAAATGATATCTTAGGAATGGTGGCGAAGTGAGTTAGTTTAAGAGTCGGTGCATCAGGCTCTGGAGAAAGAGGTATTTTAGGAGAATTCTTGCAAGGACTGTACCATTGAGCACGTTTCGAATGAACCTTGTTGACGAGTTGACAGTTTTCTTTGCTCGGCGTTAACCTCGGTTCTAACATGGTGTAAACAAGGTTCTACTTCGTTCGATACTGGACTCTAACAGAAAGACGGTCTTGCTTCAGTCCACGGTGTTATGCTAGGCCGATGGTATTTTCTTGCAAGGAAATGTCGCTACATCTTCTCGAGTTGAGCACCGAGTTCAGATGTTTGACAGTGAAATGTAACTGGAATCGATCGAACTCCGATTGAAAATACCGGGCGTGCAAAGTTGACCAATCACAAACAGTCTTTTATTCGCAATAAACCAATCAGAAACTACAGGAAGTAACGACTTCAAATTTCTCCTCGCCTGGTTCCCAGCTTCCCTCCTCGTGCGGCGCCGACGGTGCCACATTTCCAAGATCTTCCAAGTGCTTCTTATTTGGCCTTTTTGGCGAATTATTGTAACTGGATTGATTATTCAAACCAGTGTAGCTAAATTAATTTTAGACTGTGCTATAAAACTTTTATCTGTTCGGTCATTCTAGGGAACCTTGAGTCCTCTCGAAATTATTAGCATTTTTTTCTATTTCCCGAAAACCTTCCGAAAATCATAGCTGACCATTTTCGATAACCAAAACGACGACTGGACATTTTTATGACTCCGAAAACAGCCGGCATTAAATTTTTGATATTACAAAAGTTCCAGGTTATAATTGTAAGAAAATCGGAGGGAGTTAAAGCCATAATTTATCCGTTAGATGCCCCCTGGTGTTAGCCTGAGTAGACTGAGTACCAGGCTCCTCTTACTCGGGGGCTAGGAGGAGGTAGCACCCGGGCAATTCCCCCCTTCCCCTACGCTCTTGCTAAGAATGGCCTGATATTGAGGTTACCGCGGGTGGTGCGCAATCCTATTTAGACCCTATATAGTCTTGAGTCCACTGAGTTTCAAGATTGTAACAGACTGATAATCCCAGGCTTATTTTCGGGAGGTTAACGCCATTTATTGTTACGGAACAGTTTTCGGTGAAACAGTAGATTTCAATTGTTCCAACGACACAATAATCGTAAGCCTAGTTCATTGGTTGTTATTTCCCCGCTCTTGAACATAACGTTTACTAAGAAACGAGCTTCGGGTTTTGAAGGGATGAAAAGTAACTTACAGTGGAATCCCCATTTCTCGAACCCTCGATTTTTCGAGCCTCCCGATAACTTAAGTTTTGCCTGCTCGAGCCGGTGAGCCAACACCATGATACTTAATGATGTTTTGGTCCACTCAATATAAAAAAAATTGGGTAGGTATACGTAGCAGGTCGTCTCCTGCTCAGCTATTGAGCTACATTTTTCCAAGGCCCCTGTTATATTTATAAACAGATGGTTGATAAGCCACGATTATTTTTATTTATTTCTCTTCTTGATCCAAAAACGTCTTTAAAGGCCTCTTCATATGAGCCCGGTCAACCGGGCTGGCTCGGTTTCCAAGATCTCGCTTCGTCACTCTTTCCTTCCTGAACATTTCGATGTGTTCATATGAGAAGCCGGGCTGACCGGGTTACCAAGATCTCGGTTTTTGCGACAGAGATCTCGGTAACCGGGATGAAAATTTTCCCATATAAACACTCCAGCCGGGGTAACCGGGACGAAACTTTTTAGACAAAATAGCTTCGCTTTCGCAACATAGCGGCCAAAATGGCATAATTTTTGTCTTGTATGTATTTCCACTTTAGGATTATGCGAATTACCTTTATAAGTAAAGTTACAAGAGTCCGCAACGCTATGATAGTCGCGAATGATACAAGTTTATGTTCCACCAGGTTACCGGGCTCATATGAACAAAAGAGGCCCTAATTCCCGCTCTCTATCGCCTGGTCCATGAACAATCATTTGTTCGGCTGAAAAATGACCGTTTTATGATCTTTTGTGCCCACAATTGTTCTGTCCTTCGGTAAGACTGTCTGAAATCGATAAGATTTGGTTAGCAAATGCCGGACCGATTGTAAGGCATTTCTTTTTATTTCCTCATTCTTGGCTGTCCTCGAGCACTATTTGAATAAGCTCCCAAAATATAATTACCCGTGACATTTGTCGAGATTAACATTCTTCGCAGACCAGACAAGCTTCCTGTGTTTGCACTGTCAAGGAGAACTTCCGCAGTTTTCTAGAACGTTTAAGTGACTTATTCGATGTTAAATGCTCCGCCGGATTGAATAATAATAATGATAAAACAGTTTCAATCACACACTCGCCTTTTCTTCTTGTGGAATCGATCATAGTACCATTCAAATACCTTTTTCACTTCTTTTTTTCTTCAGTCAAAACAGCCGCCGTTTAGTTTGGATGAAGAAGTCACGTTCGTTTATCCTTCAAATAGCAAAAAATCCGGCCACCTTTGGGGTCAGCCGTTAACCGTTTCCTCCCTGAAAGTGAGTGATAGAACGTCTATTATGGTAAGTAGAAAAAGTCAACAGAATCATCAGCAACTGATTTGCCGCGTGTCTCCGTTTTGCCGTATAACGTGGTCTTTTGTAAATTATGGCAAGAACTCCCGTGTTATTTTGGAGGGAAACTAAGAAAGTTGGGTAAGAGCAAAATGAACTTCAGTACCTACCAGTTAAAGCTATACAGTTCCACTTTACATTCACCAAAGCATTTTAGCAAGCTAATTATAGCGAACTGCCATCTCTCGGTCACCTATTTCACACCACACAGAAGATACAGTTCAGTCCCTCTGGGGAATGGATAATGGCCGCTTAAAGGGGGCTGGCCGCTTAATAGAGGTAAAAACAATAGAAAAGCTCTCATCGGGACTATGATTACTGGCTGCCAAATAGGGGTAGCCGCTTTTAAAATAGGGATTCGACTGTAATTCAGCCTTTGAGTGTGTTCGCCGCGAAAATCACAAAATAAGACCAGCAGAATTAATGAAGGTACTGGAAGCAATCGGTAGCCTGCATTATAGCTTCCATTACCTTAATTTATTCTGCTGATCTTATTTTGTGATTTTCGCCAGTTCGCCTCTCAAGTTCGTTGAGACCTTCCTAACTTCCACCTGTCGCTTTTTTTTTCGGTGTCTTTTCCGCCTGAATGAATCCGAACGATGCTTTGAGTTTTTCGCAAAGTTTTGACTTCAGTTTGTGATATATAACTTTTGCAAGACTGTATGGCGACGACGGCGAACAATACGTCATCAGTCAGCGTGACTTGAACTTCCCTAGAACACTGAAGAGGAGTACAGCCAGAAAACACCGGAATATGAGTCGATGACGCTCTTTAACATATCGCATGAAAATCCTGTCTTTCTCTCCAGTAATCCGAGGAGGGTTAGGGTAAAAAAGGGAAAGATTTGAACTCAACAATACGAAGGATCCTGAAGTGTGCCTTTGATTGGGCGAATATGCGGTGTATTTCACGAGTAATGCACACACCCAAGAGATTATCTCTTGACACACTTCAGTCTTTCCGAACACACGGAACAAGGCGTGCTTCTTTAGAAAGTGAAGGGTCGAAACACTGAGCAGGCGTTTTTAATTTCTCTGCCGCGTAAAACAATTTTCTGCTAAATAAACTATTTTTGGAGAGCCAGAATTATTTTACTCGGTGTATACAAATATTTTGGGTGCTAGACTGGGCTTGAAGTGCTATGACGCAGAAGGTGATCAGGTGATGCCCAGATATACATACAAGGGGCAACTTGAGTCGCTAAACCTATATTTGATTTTATTATTAGAAAAATTAATGCTAGTAGATCGACTGAAACTACCAAGGAGAGGTTGAAAGGGTAGAAATAGCTTCAAACATGGGGGAGCAGGGATGACGGAGTGGTGAAAGCGTTCGCCTCCGGTGCTGTATTGAGTTTGTTGTTGGTTCTCGCCTTGCTCCGAGGGTTTTTCTCCGCGTACTCCGGTTTTTCTCCCTCTTGAAAAACTAACCAACATTTTCAAATTCCAATTCGACCGGGGGATAGAGAACCCGCATGAAAACCAGCCAAGGCTGACGTGGCTTCCTCCCTAAATATTGTCATTCATTATTATTTACCATAGCTTTTCCTGTTTTCCATGCGGTTAAAAGCAACTTCACTCAAATCGTCTTCTCTGACGTTACTGACATGTTGTTAATTTTCAAGAATGATATCAGTCTAATTTCACTTCACTCATACTTATTATCAATACAATAATATTAGTAAACGACAGATGTCAAGACTGATGGAAATTCTAGAATACTAGAGAATATATAATATAATATATACTTGTTGACTACTCAAATGAGAAATCTGGCGGAAGATGCGATTCCTCCCAGCAAACAAATACGAACTTAGTTGATCAGGCATTCGAATATTACCTCCATAAGCTTAAAAACTTCAGAAAGCAATAAGACCGCCCTGTAAAGAGATGATTTCGAAACTTTGACTGGATTCGGTCAATTTGCGCAATCCGTTACAATAAACTGTGTCTACTTCCCGGAGTTCTTTAAACTTCCTTCCCAGTTCTTGTTATAACCTGTGCGATTACACAAATATAAACCAGTGGTACTGGTCGTTAATTCATTTTACGCCAAATCGCGCAAGTGATCGGGTTGAAGTAAACTTGCTGAGATCCGGAAGAGTTTTTCCTTACTCCAGTTTACCAAGATGAAGATGGTGGCCGTTTTGTCGCTTTGCGTCGTGATTCTGTGTGCCATGGAATCTGTATCAGGTATTTGCGTAGCAATTTGTTTTTACGAAACTTCGGACAAAACTGAATCAAAATTACATAACTTGGTCGAATACTCGCTTAGCGAAGGATACTGCAAGAAGTTTATTTATGTGCGAAAACGAAAAACTTGGAAAAGATGTAATCGCCGAGACTACGGAACAAGCTACTAGAGTTTCGAACCGAAATATGCCTTCGGACGTTATGCGATTCAGTAAAATATATCTCTGTAAATGTATTAGTCATTGTGTTGAAAATATAACATTTTTTTAAGGAAAACAATGTCCTGGGGGATGGGAGAGTTTCGGGAGCTTTTGTTACTACGCAAGTAGCTCGTCCATGACTTCACACCAAGCCCGGCAGCTCTGTCAAAGGATGGGAGGAGACCTGGTAAAAATCACCAGTGCACCAGAAAACGAGTTTGTCCTGGCACTCGCGAGGAAGAAAGCGCCATTGATGAAACAAATGTGGATCGGCCTGATGTGGACTTCATCCAGCTTCTACTGAAATGATTACTCGGTTCCAGCCTTCAAGAACTGGGCTCCCCACGAACCTAATGGTAACGCCCGAGAACCATGCAGCAACATGTAGACTGGGTACACATCCTTTCTTCCCCAGAGGGCATCTGGTTACTGGAATGACCGCCCCTGTGGAGTTGTCTCAGGCTCTCCCTGTGGCCTGATTTGCAAGAAGCTCCCCTAGCTATACAAGCTACAAAACCTGCGACCAAAGTCACGTCCACAAAAGCCACGCTTGGTGAAGGGACATTTAAAATGGAATTTTTAAAAAATCTTGAAATGTAAGGGGCAGAAAATCATGCCGGCTTAACAATAAATGCTTAAAACCTGAGATTTCTAAGTCCGTTACTGTGTTTATACTGTGGGTGGGTGGGTGGGTGGGGGGAGGGGAGGGGAGGGGAACAGGGGTTCAAAACCTCCCACTTCCCGTACCTGCTCTTCCGCTTTCCGTACTTTTATCTCCCAACTTCGCCTTTTTCCGTCCTGCTCCTGTTTCCCGTAAATTAGGAGACCCCAAACATATCCTGCGCTATCCTTAGGCGTTTCCTTTTCGCCCTTGCTCCTCTTGCCTGCCTCTTGACCTATGACGTACCCACCAAAAAGGGTTTCCAATTTTACTGGAAGTAAGTCTCAGATTTCTAGCCCAAGCGCGAATTTTTGTTTGCTTGTTAGTTCTGAAGTCTCAGAAGACGCTAAATGCAAAGCAAACAACATTTTGGGTTTTTTTGTTCGAAAGCATTTTGCATTTTTTTCCTGATTCCCACCCTCTTAGAACTCCCGCTCTTTCTTCTACCGCTTTCCACCCCTACTCTCCCGGGCCCCCGCTCCCACTCCCACCCGCCCCTTCACTATAGTCGCTGCCACGTACATGTGTCTAAAATCAGTATTGGTGATTAAATCAGACAGGTGAACCATTTTGACCGTTTTCATTTCAATTATATAGTTCGGGTAATTTCGCAAGAATTAGGACTTGGAAAATACCGTAAGCGCGAATAGAGAAGATACAAAGCAAATACGAACCCACGCACGCTAAATACGGTCAATCAAGGCCGCGGAAAAGTATCCAAGAACGGTTATTGAGCAATACAGGAGGGACGCGATCCACGTAATCCTTCGAGCGTAAATACCCCGGGATATTTCATACCGTGCCATAGAAAATACAGCCAATCAGAATACAGGAAAGCCGTTGTATATTTAACAAATAGATTCCATGTTGCTGTGCGTCCTTTCACTGTTAGTATATATCTACTAGCCTTCTATTACGAATGCCGTTCGCTGATTGGCTACGCTATTCACTATGTATTCTGTGATAGATAGTAGCGTAGCAGGGTGCCCTTGGTAACAAAATGATGGCCACTTCTGAGGTCACTTCTTGACGTTTTCGAAGTGTCTGAGAAGAGGATTTAGATAAAGTTTTGAGCGACTAT